TCTAACTTCTAATCTTTGTTCTCCAGCTAGAGACTGCTTCTTTGTTATATGTTAGTACAATGGGACCCTAGCCTCTTGCCACTACCATAATACATATAACAATAATAAATCTGTTTGACCTTGAAAAAAATCACATCTCCCTGCTTCAATTTCTCTATAATGGGGGGTAATAATTCTTCACCTCCAGTCTTGCAAACCCTTACTCGCCCTCCTGGGTTGGGAGGGCTCAATTTGTAATTAGTTAATGACTGTTCTGCATTTCTAACACATAGCACTTAACTGGCCTCTCCTACCAGTTTTACAATGTCATAATTGCATTGGGCTGCCATGTAGATACTCCTGCACTATGCCTGCAACAGCAAGAGGAGAATCAAGTGTTATATGAAATCAATGCCAAGGATCCTTATTATTATTATTGCTTTTTTGCCCTCACTTCTGTTTGCCCTGGCCAATGTCATGGATATGCACAAAACAATGGGATGTAGCTGAAGGCAAACACTCAAGCAAACTCATCAAGAAGCTGCAGATTGGCTTCATTTGCATCCACTTGGATGGAGTCCAAAGCTCCTCTCATTCTTTTTTACATCTGGTGAAAAGGGGAGAGGAGCTACTCATTCTACCTCACATTGTCCAGGCCTGCTGCTGAGTCAGGAAGGTCTATGGCCAGCTCCAGAGGAACAATTTTCAATGCACATGGGTCTCCATTCCCACTGGTGGGTGAGGCCTTCACTCCCATGCCAGGAACAATTACGCACCACAGGACTAAGCTGTGTGGGTCTGAGCACACTCAGAACAGCATGATGACATCTCCACTAGGGGGTTACCACTAATTACACTGACGGATTCAAAACAGTACAACTTGTATGTGTGGAAAAAGCCTAAGCCCTTTTAAACCATTCTTTCTATGGCTATTCGTGGAAGAGTTTACGCAAAACACTTTCAGACTGTGTGTTTGTACTCTAATCACTTTGGGCCTTCCCTGTGTTTTATATGATTGGTGTTCCTTGGTCACATGGTAATGTTTCTCATACCTGGTTGGATAAATGAGCCACGTGAAGGAGAACAAGGAATAGTGAATTTCTGGTGTGAAAAGGATCAGTCACGTCAAATTCATTGAAAATTTCAGGATTCATGAACATTTTCATGAACATCCATTCCTTAGTGCAACGACATGATCCCAGGAACGACTGTTATCCAAACACAGTGCTTTGATAAACAGAAATATTCATGGATTCCTTTTTAAAAGCAAAGTAAGTGTTGTACCTGATTGACATTGCAAAAGTTGTTTATGACAGACTAAATTCTCTACATGAGGGGTATTGCACAGTGCTCCTCTATGCCAAAATAGACCCAATAATTAAGACATCTAGCTTGCATGTTGAAGAGGCTGTTATCAGAGCTCATATTTAGTTTGGTTTCTCCTGAGACTGAGAAGTTCATGAGAGTTCAGTTTTTAATTGAACAGCTTGCCAAAGCTTCTACAGTGCTTTGAGTAGGCATAATTTCCTCCAGTTCCTAATAGCAAGTGGAATCTTTGATGAGGTTTTCAAAGATGACAACCCTGCAAGATTAGGTTTTACAGTACATTTCTGTTTTTAATTACCTATACCCCCTGAAATTTAATATTTCCTTTTGTACCCCTCTCTGGTATTTCTTATTAATTTGTCCTCTTGGTATTTTTGTTTTGTTATTTTAAAGGAACAAGATGGCCAACGTCTCGGTCATCTCTTGGGGCAGCTTCCTCTTCCAAAGTTCCAGTGGAAAACCAGAACAGCTCCTAGATGGCCCTGCTTTAATATTCAACACTTGGAAAGTCATTACTAGACTCTGATAAAGTATCAAGATGGAATTGTGGTTTTGCCCACAGACTAGGAAAAATGCAGCTGAAGAAGAATGCTGCTTCTGAGAATGACTGCTAATCCAGAAAAGTCATAAGAGAACATGCTTCTAGTCTGAAATCCCTCCTACTGCAGATTTAAATTGTGCTGTGATAAATGAGTTTTAATGAGCTACAGGGAATGGTAATAGGATAGATTCTTGTTTCTGTGAAGGGAACATAGCATCAACATGATTTTTAACAACTTAGAAATTGTGGCTTTACTTATCTGTTACCTGAATCGACACTGAAATCTGTCAATAACGATATCTTTATCAGTCTAATGGACCTGCAGGTAGATACCTTTTCAGCAATGATCTATTGGGGTACGTCTACACTACAGGACAAAGTTGAATTAAGATACGCAACTTCAGCTATGTTAATTGCGTAGCTGAAGTCTAAGTACCTTAATTTGGCTTTTGGCGCTGTCTACGGAAGTCGAAGGGAGAACACTCTTCCTTTGACTTCCCTTACTCCTCATGGAAGCAGGACTACCGGAGCACCCCTCCTATTTCAAATGAGCTGTCTTCACTTGACCCACTAATTCGAACCCTGGAAGATTGACAGCGGCAGCTTCGATCTTCCTCTGTAGCGTAGACGTGCCCCTAGGTGTCTTCAATTGTTCCCTGGTTGGAGAGGTCAGATGTACAAATCTCTCCCCCTTATTTTATCCAGTGGGGAAAAAAGCTTGGAACCCATTACTATCAATACTTCTGCAGCTTTCTTTGCAGAATCGGTCTTTGACTGTCAGCTGTTGGGAATGTCAGCACATGCCCTGGTTATTCAAGCTGAGAAATGACCATCTCTGTTATGGTGCAATTGGTCTCTATGTTTATGTGAGGTGGAGTGGTTGGAACAGTAAGCCAGGGATAGCATTTCAGTCCTGTGAAGACACAGATAGACCCCTGAATTTGCCTAATCACGGATGCCTCCAGTAGCCACCTAACTTCCTATTACAGGTGCGGTCCTGATTTAGTCCCCTGAACTTTAAACATATGTTTTGGCCATTGATGTCTGTGGTCAGACTAGACTTCCTGTAATGGATCATTTCTTTGCCTCATCAAGTATTGTTCCGATACACAAAATTGGAGGCTATTTTTGAGTTAACATTGCTAATTCATAGAACTGGAGTCTTATGGGTCTTTAAACCCCCTCAAATTTCCCCACATTCTTCCATTGTACTGAATGAGCAGACCTGAAGGAATTTTACATCATTCAACACACACCCACACACCTCTCTCAAAAAAATACCAATTCATCTGCATTTTATACAAAAGCAGACTAAAATTAATTAATGGAAAGAAACTCTAGCAGAATGAAACATGTGATGTTCTTGTACTGAAATTCCTTGCTTATTAAATCTCTGCTCCTTGTAAAAGAGATGATGGATTTTTAATGTGTGCTGTGGATTCCAATGAGCCAAAGTGAACTTGAAAACTCCTAATTATTGTATTTTTGCCATAGATGTCACTATGACTAAGTGGTAGTATCATTTCAATGTGAAATAGACTGCTCCATTTCTGTTTCAATCGGCATTCAAAGTTTCCAGAATTTCTTTCACTATTATTGTCTTTATGAATCATTCTCACCCTTTTCAGTCTAATAATATTGTATGCAACAAATTCACATAACTCTTCCCTTTGAAAATCATACAATCCAGCTTGCAATTGCCTGGGATCCTTCTTGAACATAGCTACTGATACATGCAACTGATAAATATCAAGAGGATTATATTAACAACAAATTTGGTGCAGTTAACCTGAATTAAAGAAAAGTTATCTAATTCTGTAAGTGGCTTCAGTCTACTTTGTGCAGATAAGAAGTAACTAGCACAGTTAACTGCACCTCATTTAGGTATAGGATTCAAGAGGCAAAACCAGCCTGAACAAATGGATGGCCATGTGGTAAGACACTAGCAGAATTCAGGATGAGTTCCTTGCCTGTCTGATACAGCTTTACTTCGTAATCTCGAGCAAAGCTCTTATTCTCGCAGCACCTCAATTCTCTAAATATTTCTCAAAGGGATGCTGTATTAAAGGTTGAGAGACGCTCAGATACGAAGATGTTCATTTAAATATCTAGATAATAGTGTGTCCTTCTGCAAGTGACATAACAGGATGGACTATTCCTGACTGGCTGCAAATGGTGTACACATTTTTTAGACAAAAAAATCAAGAAAAAACATCTAAAATAAGTCACTGAGATGCCAAAGGCTCTGAGTGTGAAATCCTACAGTTTGGACCTCCCTGGTCTGGCACCCTTGGGACCTGACCGGTCCTGAAAGAGGGAGTTTTCTGGACCAAGGGAAGTCAGCCTTCTGCTAACAGACTCTGGGCTCTGCCAGGATCGGTCAGAAAATCACCTGGCTCCCCTGCCCCAGGGCCACTGGGGTCCCAACTCCTTGGCCAACCCTCAGGATGCTGGGGCTCCACGGCCCCAAAGCTGCCAGACTCAGCTGCTCTGGGGACGCTGGGGCTCCGCTGCGCCAGGGCTCTGCTGCTCTGGGCTGCCAGTGGAGCTTCATGGCGAGCCACCGGCTGCCGGCATTCCACAGCCCCTAGGCTGCCCCATGGTGCCAGGAGTCTGCTGCCCCGAGCTGCGGCTCTCTGGTCCAGCAACATCCATGGTCCTGCTAGACCATGGATGTTGCTGGATCAGAGATTCTGGGACCAGAGAAGTTCAACCTATATCACCAAAGAATAAATTGTAGAGCTGATCAAAAATGCCAATTATTTTTTCATGGGACATGAATTTATTTTCCCCACAAGTGACCCACTATATTTTTTGATGAAAAACAAACAGAAAACCAAAACATTTCTATTTAAAAAATTTTTTTTATAAGATTTTGGATTTTCAAAAAAAATACAACCGTTTATTTGTTACCATAAATTGAACTTAAAATTGAAAAATAACTGGCTATAGGCAAAAATTTTCAATTTGTGATTTCTCATAAAAACAAAAACGCCCACTAAGTCTACTGAATACTCAGATTTCAGGGGCCTCATAATTCATTCAGAACTTTATAAAAGCCTTATTACTGATGAGACTAGATTCTCTCTGTCCTGTCTCCTATTTCTGTGAGTATTTTTATGTAAAAATGTTATGCCTCTCTTGCAAAGAACAGTATATGATTTCTAGATAGTCACTAGTTTGCTATGATTTTCAATATTGTTTGCTTAGGAGCCAACAATTAAAATAGTCCTGTGATTCTAGGATGTATTATTAGCAGGAGTGTCATAAGCAAGTAATAATTCCTCTCTGCTCTGTGCTGATTAGGTCTCAGATGGAATATTGTGTGCAGTTCTGGGTGCCACATTTCAGGGGACATGTGGACAAATTGAAGAAAGTCCAGAAAAAAAAAACAACAAAAATGACTAATGGTCTAGAAAACATGACCTGTGAGGGAAGATTGAAAATATTGGGTTTATTTAGTCTGGAAAAGAGAAGACAGAAGGGATGTGATAACAGCTTCCAAGTACAATCCTAAAAGGTTTTTACAAGGAAGAGGGAGAAAATGGTTCTTCTTATCTTAACCTTGGATGATAGGATACGATGCAATGTGCTTTAAACTGCAGCAAGAGAGGTTTAGTTTGGGCTTTAGGAAAAACTTCCTAACTGTCAGGATGGTAAAGTACTGAAATAAAGTGCCTAGGGAGGCTGTGGAATCTTCATCATTGGAGATTAAGAACAAGTTAGACAAACTCCTGTCAGGAATGGTCTTGATAAAAAATAGTCCTGCCATGAGTACAAGGGACTGGACTAGATGACCTCTTGAGGTCCCTTCTAGACCTATGATTCTATGTAATTGCTTTGATGATCAAATGGCAGCTTTCACATAGGACCCTCTGTTTCCCTCCATCCCTCAACCTGAAAGGAAGCTGAAGAGCTCTCGCCTGGGATATTCAAAGGATGCCAAGGCAGTTCAGCCTGGATCAAAGAGGTTCAGAAAAGGCTTGGAAATTCATATAGGTATCAGGAATATGACAACAAAAATTTGGAAGGGATATTAAACCTAATTTTTGAAGGCCCAAGCCAATTAGAGAGTCAGGATGAGTCCTCCAAAGGGTAAAGATTATCGCACATTTTCCACATCAGGGTTCTTACACTCCCTCTGAAGCATCTTGTGCAGGCAGCTGTCAGATTGACCAGGAGTTCAGTTTGCAACTCCCAATGCAGTTGATGAAGAGAGCACCTCTGTACTGACTCACAAAGATGCTGATGGTATGAGAGAGGTATGCCATGGAAAGGATGATGGGTCTCAGCTGTCAAACTCATATTTGCCCCTCATACAGCACCAGTTAGCTGTGAAGACACCACTAAGCAACAGAGAGGACACAGCAGAGAAATGGGGAGATGGAGTCACAAACAGCCAAGTCAGAACCTTTAGAGACCCAGAGCCTTCAATCATTACACACGTCTGGAGGGCAGCATTTGTGGACCCTAGGCAGTATGCAGTCTTAAACAGGAAGTTTTTGCACTGGCACAGAGAGATGGATTGAGGGCCTGACCCAAAGTCAGGGAAGTCACTGAAAAGTCACTTCACTGGGCTTTGGATCAGGCCCTACTTGACCTTCCTGGCTCTTTGCAGCCCTGTTATCTACACTCGTGAAACAGGTTTATGGAACAAACATCCATCCCACAGAGACGGGGAAAGGAGGGCTGAACAAAACTTTTCCATCAAAACTGGGTTTTGATTGAAAATTGGGGTTTTGACAGAATGAATCTCTCTGCAGAGAGTGTCTGCTTTCTGGGGAAAACATGGCCTTTTTGTCAAAAAACCTGAAGTTCCAGAACTATGCACCCAAAAAGTTTTTTTTGACAAAAGATACAAGTTTTCCCTGAGAACCCCTTATTTTCTAGTCAACTCTGCACCTCAGAGGTATTTCTACTTTTCAGGCTACACCACCAGCATTTGTGTTGTGCTAGCACATGGGCCTGCACCTTGATAGCAGTCGTTGAAACACTGATTTTGAAACTTCAGCTTCAGATCTCTTTAGACGAACTTGATGTTTGGATCTGCTTAGGAAAATGAACCCTGCCCACCAATGGCAACAAATTAGCATTAATTTATCATTATAAACTTTGTTTTATAAACTGATACCAAAGAGAAGTCGAGAGTTTCTGGGAATTGTATTCAAAGGACTTGTTATGATTTTTTTTGTCAAGTACAGAGTAGGGATGTTAAAGACTAGTTGACTATCCGATAAGCAAATGGTTATCGGATAGTCAGTCGACTAGTTAATTCCTCCCTACCCCCCTTTGCTGCCTCTATCAGATATATCAGATAGAGGCAGCAAAGGAGGAGGGGGAAGGAGGAGTACTTCAAAGTAGCAGCATCACACAGATGTGCTGCTGCTTTGAAACCCCAAGGCGACATTTCAAAGGGGCAGCCACCGCACAGCTGATCTGTGGCTCAGCTGTGTATGCCGCCTCTGGCATTTTAAAGGGGCAGCGCTGTGGAGCTTGGGGTCAGTTGGGGACTCCCCAGCTGATCCCGGCTGATCCCGGGCTCCCCGTGGCATTTCAGTGAAACCCGGGATCAGCTGGGGAGTCCCCAGCTGATCCCGGGTTCTGGGGAAGTGCCACATGGAATCCGGGGTTAGCTGGGGAGTTCTCAACTGACCACCGCCTCCATGACTTTGAAATGTACAGGAGCCCCTGCTGGGGGCACTTCCCGCTGGCCCCGGGCTGCATGCGGAGTTCTGCATTCCTCCTTTGAAATATACAAAATCCCCAATATGGGCTCTTGTTCACTTCAAAGGAGGAATGCGGAAGTCCCTATCGACTAGTCGAGTAGTCGATAGAAATTCCATCATCTACTTGACTAGTCAGTTAACCACAATTTAACATCTTTAGTACAGAGTGTCTTGTGTTTGATAATTCGACAGCAGTTCCAATTTCATACAACCCTGTTAGAATGCATCCAGAGTGTTAGGTCTTCTCTTCAGTCCTATCAAGCAGTCTTTCATGTGACCAGTCAGAGAATCTGATTCACTTAGACGATGAGTTCTAGGATTCAAACTCACCCATATTGACACATTAAAGCCCAGACACCACAATGGACAGTACATAGGAAGGCTGCAGCACGTGTATGGTCTTGGAGCACTACGAAAGCCAGTGTAGCTCTTTGCACATTGTACAATCCAGCTGTGCACTATCAATTCCCTAGTGTTCTCTGGCACTGATGTTGTAAGTGGTTCAAAGCAGGTGACCCCTTGTTCCCACCTCAAGCTCCATTGGTTTCACTGTGCAGGCAGAAGCATCTGCTCACACAGGCCCAATTGCAGGATCAGGGTAAAGTGGTATTTTACCATGACATTTGCTACATCTACATTGCACATTGTTGCGCAAGAAGATATGTAAATGAGGCGCAGCGATGAATATCTGCATACCTAATGAGCTGGCATTTTTGCACAAGGGGCTTTGGCGCAAGAAGGAGCAGTCTACACTGCTCCTTTTTGTGCAAAAACCCCCTCTTGGGCAAGAGCCGTTCTGCTGCTTATTTTCAGGCAGAATGCCTCTTGAGCAAGAGGGTATTTTTGCACAAAATGGCAGCTCATTAGGTATGCAAATGTGGCGCGGCGATATTCACTGCTGCACCTCATTTGCATATCTTCTTGCTCAAGAATGCGCAATGTAGACGTAGGCTTGTTGTTTTTCTTAAGAACTCAGCTGCTGGAGTCAAATGATTCCTTGAGATCCCAGTTTTCATACAATAGGAAAAGTAAGTTCCCAGTCTTCGGTGGCAGTGGA